GACATTAAAAATAGTGACTCTTCTATTTTCATAACCTATAGAGTTAATAAATGAGACATTTCACATCCATAACTTATGGAAGTTTCAAAACTCTTAAGATCATAACTTTAAAAAAAACTTTTGAGTTCCAAAATTTTATGACAAAATTTGTAACTCCTTAAAACCATTTAGATCAAACTTTTAAAACAAATAAAATAATCATATCATTCTATCTTTTAATAAATTGACCTAATTCAACTCTTGTAGTAAAGTGACTCAAATTTTATAAATAATTAGTTTTTCATAAAATCAAGTAATTATCATAAAATTTGACAAACTTCATGTTTTTTTTCCCTTTTTTTTCCCTTCAACTTGAAAAAAAAATACATTTGCATCAAATATAATAGAAAACAACCTGGCTTTGATACTACTGTTGGGTTTTAGTATACTACAACATCCTATGGTGCACATACAACCCTAAATACCTTGGATCTATGTTTTCTCTATTATACATGTAAATGGTTTCCAAGGCATTAAACCTATAACTAGCATGCATTTGACATAAACCATATAATATACTAGTTAGGGAAACATACCTTTTATGTGGCTTGAAGTCTTGATGTATTTGGCCTTAAGAGCTTAGCACCAATAGTATGAAATGCCTCAAATGGAATCACAACACACCTAGGACAAAGGTGGCTCTTGAGAGAGAATTCCATGCACCAAAACACCTCCATATTTCTCTAAGAAAAGAAGTGGTGATTTTGGCTATGGAGTAACCTATTTATATGTAGGATTCCAAGGGTCATGGGTATAACCCATAATCCATACCCATGGGTTTTATGATCCATGGTTCATGTGGCCCAACTCTTTATGTATCCATACATAAACTTGGTCCCACATGGATCATAAGCCCAACACATATAAATATAACTAATTATCATAATTAGTCCCCATAGATTTAATTAGTCTCTTTTGATCACTAAATTAATTCCAAATTAATTCTTGATCGATACTAATTAAAACATATGATTTCATATTAATATATTATAACTTATAATATATTAATAAACCATAAATAACCTTCTCTCAAAAGTCCATCCTAACAAATTGTCCTGATGATATGCAACCCAAATGGACCATGCTCCTCTCGGGTCAAGTACATACCAATAATAGTTATGGGCTTAGACATCTAATCCAACAGTAATCGGACAGAAAGAGTGACCCAACCCATTGGACGTAATTTTAGACCTGGAGTTCATGGGACTCGATGAGTACTAGAACAGACTCGACGAGTCCAAGGCAATCTCCTTAAAATTGGAGATGAACTCAACGAGTTGTTCATACAACTCGGTGAGTCGAGGACAAGACTTGTTCATCAGATGAAGGTGGACTCGACGAGTGTTCATACAACTTAGGGATGTCAACGGGGGCAAACGGGGCGGGGATTGCATCCCCCGCCCCCATCCCCGAAATTTTCATGTTCCCCCGCCCCGCCCCTGACCCCGAAATATCTAGCCTCCCCATCCCCACCCCCGCCCCCGAATCCCAGGATTACCCCCGCCCTCGCCCCCGTTTCCCCGCCCCACCCCTGTTTCCCCACCCCCGTTTGGGTTGACTTTTTTTTGGGCGAACGAAGGTGTTGTTTAGGCTAAAAGAAGTTATTTTTTGAGCTAAAAGAAACCATTTTGGATAAAAATAGTTATTTATAGCATAAGTTTATATATTTAAAATAAAAATATTATAACATCTTAAAAATGTTATACTATAAACTTAAAAACATGATATTTAATTGAATTTTGGAAGTTCAAAATCATTGTTATTATTTATTATATTTTTATAATTAATATATATTAATATAAATAATATATTAACGGGGTCCCCATTGGGGGTTCGGGACGGGACTACCCACCCCCGCCCCCGCCCCCGAAACTAAAACGGGGGTTAACATTGCCCCCGCCCCCGCCCCCGTCCCCGATTTTTTAAATAAATATTCCCCATTCGGGATCGGGGCCCCACGGGACTTTTTGACATCCCTAATACAACTCGGCGAGTCGGATGAGGTTCATTCGATGTTCATATGAGAGAGGAACTCGTCGAGTCGATGCCAAACTCGACGAGTCGAGTCATGGATAAGGACGAGTAAAGGTTTAGGGACTCGACGAGTTAACGGCCCAACTCGGCGAGTCGGGTCAACTTGAAGTTGACTTTGACTGGACTTGGACTAACCCTGTTTAGGGTTGCACATGTTGTGAGTTGACTTGAAGGCTGTCGTGTAGGAATCGAGGAGTCGAAGGGAGTCAACTTGTGCGCCGAGGATAATTCAAACACTGCACGACATTGAGGTGAGTTACCTTCCAGTAGGGGTGGGTCTAAGGCCACAATGTCGGCCCACCAAAAAGGGGTATTTAGAAGATGATTGTCTTTTTGATAATTATCTTGGTTTGGTTATGTGTTTTGGTCATGAGATTTAACTGTATGGCATGTTATGTGTGTAGCAGGGATTAGTTTCCCTGACAGTGGTCCTTAGGACCTAGGGGTAGGTCAATACCCGGATATGCCTGACTGTATGCTTATATCTGTTGTTGCATGCTAGTGGTAGGGGGTGAAATAGTCCCCAGTTACCGGTTGAAAGCTACCGATGACAATTACCGGTTGAAAGATACTGATGGCAGTTACCGGTTGAAAGATACCGATGATGATTACCGGTTGAAAGAAACTGATGATGGTTACTGGTTGAAAGATACCGATGAAGTTTACCGGTTGAAAGATACCGACGATATTGTATGGTATGTGGTATGATGGGGGAACTCACTAAGCTTTGTGCTTACAGTTTTGGTATTGGTTTCAAGTACCTCTTCGTCGAAGGGGAAGGAGCCGGCGGTGTAGCAGCGTATCACACACACACATGGTTTCCGCATTGAGTTTCTAGGATTGTACTCTGATTTTCATTACTTTGGATGTCATGGTTTGAGACAAAACATTATGATTTCGTAAGGTGTTGTTTTATCGACAATGTTTTGGTAAAATGTTTATTAAACATATTAATTCAAAAATGAAATTTTCGGGCTTGAATTTTGGGATGTTACAAAAACCAGTATTATGATTTCAAGGCACTGGTTAACAAACAACAAAGCTCCAAAGTTTCAGATATAATATCTGAAAATAAAGATGATGTTTCCACTGAAGAAGAGGATGGAGAAGTTGATGATGCAAATCAAGAAGGTGTTGAGCAGGGGGAGCTTCCACCCCATGATACTTTAGATACATTTCCAGAAATTACAAACGAAGGAACTCAAGTTAGACTATCCGAACGAGTTCGTGCTCCATCAAGAAGATATCCGACTTCAAACTACATCCTTCTTACTAGTGAGGGGGAGCCGGAGAGCTTTCAAGAAGCTCAATCTCATATTGACAAAGCAAATTGGCAGAAGGCCATGGAAGAAGAAATGAATTCTTTGCAGAAGAATCAAACATATGAGTTGGTGAAACCCCCCAAAGGAAAGAAAGCCTTGAAAAACAAGTGGGTTTTCAAGTTGAAGAAAGACAGCAAGGGAAATACTATGAAGTATAAGGCGAGACTCGTTGTCAAGGGTTTCTAACAAAAAGAAGGAATCGACTTTGATGAAAATTTTTCGCCAGTTGTGAAGAAGATGTCTATTCGAGTTGTACTCGGATTAGTTGTCAGTCTAGATCTTGAACTTGAGTAGATGGATGTGAAAACAACCTTTCTCCATGGTGATTTGGATGAAGAAATATACATGGAGCAGCCTGATGGCTTTATAGTCCCAAAGAAAGAGCATCTCGTCTGTAAATTAAAGAAGACCCTTTATGGTCTTAAGCAAGCCCCAAGGCAGTGGTACAAGATCCTCTTCCTTATTACATAAATCACTTTGCAAATGAGGCCTCTTAATTTTTAAATGCATAAATTATCCTAAACCCTAAATGATGGAAATTTTATCAATAGCTCCAATCAAATCCTACACCTGCAACAACAATAATGCATCAAAGCTATGACAACTAAGAATAGAGCTCAATTAAACAAACATATATACAAACCAGAATCATATGATAGTAAATGGCAATTGTCTTAACATTCTCTATTTCTTGTTATGGAACCAATTCAAGCCCATTCTTGTTATATAAAAAGAAATTTATAAGAATTTCATAGCATATTGGTTATTATGCAAAAGTTAAGGACATAAATCACAAATAACTCGGCCAGAATTTGGAGCAATCAAGCACATGAATCGCAAATAATGGAACGTAGGAACTGAGACCGTTAAGGGAAGTAATATAAAAAAGAGAAATTAAATATCCTCCTACTTTTTGTTCCTACATATCCTCCTACCCAATGAAATGGTGACATGTGTAACATTTAATGAGATTTAATGATATTTTAGGATACTAATATGACACATGTCATCATTTAAATTGGTAGGAGGATTAGTAGGATCAAAAGGTAGGAGGATATTTAATTTCTCATATAAAAATGCTGTAATATTCCTAAGAACAGAAAGTGTATGTCGATTAATTTAATAATTTTTCTTTGATATATATAAATACCATATATAATATAAAGTGTACGTTGATTAGCCCTTTAATTCTTTTATATTTGTGAGTCTGATAAACTAAAACCACCTAGGTTAAAAGCCTAAGTAACAACGCACTTTAATTTAATTGTCATAATCGAATACACTGTGTTTGGAATTCAAGATTAATTATTAAACCTACCCACAAAGACACATATGACATTACCCTTTTTTTCAATTAAATGATGAGTTCGAATTTGAAGAACAATTTCTTGCTTTTTGCTACTCGCTTTGAAGATCAATTTTTGAAAAAATTTTGGACACAATTCTTTCCCAACATCATCAACCCTTATATCATTAGAAGATTAAGAGTCAGAAGGTTTTCATCAACTTACATAGAAAATCTCACTACAACAAGCCTACACTACTCTCATAATGAATCACACAACCTAATCTACAAATATTTCTGAAAGAACATCAAACAAGAACGGTCAATACAGAAAACCCGAACTATTAAGAACTGTGTGTACAAGAGAGGAAAAATAAGCTCTGTGAAAAATATCTACACGTAAAAGAATGAAGCTGCAACATGAGATAACTCAATATATAGTCGGGTCAAGAATAACCCAAAGAGATTCGCGTACAAACCCATCTGAGAAACAACAACTTACAACCTGCACCCTTCAAAACAAACAAGTAAACAATATACACCCTTAACTTCAAAATGTTAGTTTGACACAATATATATCTTATTAATTTTAACACCCCCTCTCAAACTAACCATTTTGAAAAAAACATCATATTTAGAAACACAATTAAACTGAAAAAGGATCAAATAAACACAACTTTTACACAAAATATCATGCTGATATGAAGAAAGAGATTTAGTTAAAATATCAGCAACCTGGTTAGCAGAACTAATCTTAACCAATTTTATAACACCTTTTGAAATTTTTTCTCTTATAAAATAAACATCTATTTCAAAATGCTTTATCTTATCATGAAAAACAGGATTAAGAGCAATTTTAATTGCTGATTCATTATCACAAAAAATATTCACAGGAATCATATTTTTTAATCCTATATCACACAATACTTTCAAAACCCATATTAACTCACACGAAAGTGTTCCAAGAGCCCTGTATTCAGATTCAGTAGAAGACCGAGAAATTGTAGACTGTTTTTTACTTCTCCATGAGATTGGAGAACTACCAAAATAAACAACATAACCACTAACAGATTTTCGAGAAAACAAACTCTTAGCCTAATATGCATCTGAAAAACCCCTCAGAAGAAGAGAATCAGACGCAAACTTAACATATGAAACACCCATTCCTGGATTATGTTTAAGATATCTTAACAATCTCAAAGCAATTTGCAAGTGACACTTGTTAGGCTTATGCATATATATTGACTTAATACCTGAACATAATAAGCAATATCTGGTCTGGTAGTAGTCAAATAGATAAGCTTTCCAATAACTTTCTGAAATTTTGTAACATTTTCAAGCAAAACACTATTATGATCACTGATAACACTATTTAACTCAAGAGGAGTCCTCACAGGTTTACATCCCAACATTCCAAATTCATGAAGCAACTCCAAACAATATTTTCTTTGAGACAAACAGACCCCATTAGGAACTTCTACAACTTCAATACCTAAAAAATATTTCAGTTTTACTAAATCTTTTATAAGAAACTGGGTTTTAAGAAAATCTTTTACTTTATTAACTTCAAATTCACTATTTCCACTAATTATAATATCATCAACATATACTAACAAAATAACCACTGAATTTCTAATACTTTTAACAAACATAGAATAATCATTAAGACTCTGTTTAAAACCAAAAGTTATCAAAGAATCACTTAATTTTGAAACATCAATTGAATCATGAAGTAATGACTCAGAAGTAATCATGTGCTGACTAGCTCCTGAGTCAACAACCCATTTCGAAAGATTGGAATTTAAAAAAGAATTTCATGAAATACCTGCCATATTGGCATTAACAGACGACTCATCCAATCCTTGCTTATTGTCACCAATGAGACTAAGGAACTTAGCATACTGTTCACTTGTTAGATAATGACAATCAGAAGAACCAGAAGACTCGGATTTAAAACCAGATTTAAGATCAGAACAACTATTACCAGAAAAATCTTTTGACTAATTATTAAACTCAGACCTTGGTTTATAATCTTTGGGATATCCAATTATTTTAAAACATTTTTTCTATAGAATGGCCCTTTAAACCACAATTCTTACATTGAGGAACTGGGCCCTTAAGAAGTGTTCTTACTATTAGAAGTTAATAGATTTGACCCATGTTTTTTATTAGACTCTTCACGAGACACCAAAGAGAAGGCAGTTTTAACAGATGGAAGAGGATCCATTAATAAAATGTGACTCTTAACTTGATTGTAGGACTCATCTAAGCCACTTAAAAACTGCATAAGCTTCATTAATTTTGAATGACTATTAAAACTAGCAAAGGCTTCACATGTGCAATCAGTTATATTAGTTAATCCATCAAATTATTTCCAATAAAAATCCAGTTTATTAAAGTAATCTGACAAAGACAAACTGCCCTGAACAAAAGAGTTAATTTTGTGATGTACATTAAAAATGACAGACCCATCAGTTTTATGATAAGTTTCAAATAACTTTGTCCAGACTTCTTGAGCACTCTCAGAACAAGCATGATTAGCATATATATTTTCAGAAATAGACCCAAGAATCCAAGAACAGGTAACATCATTAGCCCGTTCCCATTTGGATGCTTTAACGGGATCATTAACAGGTTTGGTCGCAGTTCCATCGGTAAAACCGAGTTTGTTTCGAGCTTTTAAAGCTCTAATCATGGAACTACGCCAAACTCTATAATTCCCAGTTCCTAACAGTTTGAAGTTAATGACACTAGTAACTGCATTATCAGAAGGATGCACATAAAGGGGATCATTTATATTAACAACTGAATCATTTTTACTACCATTAGAAGACTCATTAGTTGGACCAGCCATAATAAACAACTAAACAAACAGATCAAGAAAAAAAAACACAGATAACTGCAATGACTAAGTCCAGATGATATCCACAGTATGTTGGGATCCAGGACCGTCAAAACAGAAAGAACAAAATAAAAAATAACAGGTGTACTCAAGACACCAGGATCTCCCACAACTATACTAAGAATAAGCTGTAGAAGGGAACAAGATACTCTTACAGAGGTCCGATTGGAAACCTTGAAGAACAATCAATTTTATAGATCGACTCTCGTTATTCCGTTCCCTCTAGAGTTAAATGGTGACCAAATCCGATTTCTAGAGAGTTATTTCAGAACATAACTGAGATTAATCGATCAAGAAGAGATCCACTCTGGTTCACCAAAGGAAACACGAACTCAGTCAAACACCAACAACAAATCTTCACAGAATCTGAAAAAAAAAACAAAAAACTTGCAGTAGCCGAGATCTAAACTGAACAAGAAACAAGAAGAAGAATTCGACTTAGGGTTTTGAAACCCTAGATCGGAAACAACGTCTGACATTCACAGATTCAGACAAATACGTAAGAGTTTTGTTTTTAAAAAAACTCTCAGCAACTTAGAAGAGAAAGAACAGGGACGAGAACAGTGACGATTAAAAAAACACAAAGAGAAAAGAAAATGAACTGTACCTCTTCAAAGCATCACTGATGACTGATCGGAAAACACGATTGAAACATTGCGCTCTGATACCATGAAAAAACTTTGGACACAATTTTTTCCCAACATCATCAACCCTTATATCATTAGAAGATTAAGAGTCAGAAGGTTTTCATCAACTTACATAGAAAATCTCACTACAACAAGCCTACACTACTCTCATAATGAATCACACATCCTAATCTACAAATATTTCTGAAAGAACATCAACAAGAACGGTCAATACAAAAAACCCTAACTATTAAGAACTGTGTGTACAAGAGAGGAAAAATAAGCTCTATGAAAAATATCTACACGTAAAAGAATGAAGCTGCAACAGGAGATAACTCAATATATAGTCGGGTCAAGAATAACCCGAAGAGATCCGCGTACAAACCCATCTGAGAAACAACAACTTACAACCTGCACCCTTCAAAAAAAACAACTAAACAATATACACCCTTAACTTCAAAATGTTAGTTTGACACAATATATATCTTATTAATTTTAACATTTCTTGCTTTCGCTACTACTATGCTAATTAATAAGGTAACTTTTCATTTTTATTACATTTAATTTTTCAAGTAATTTGTAATTGACAATATAATCAATTTGTAAGTAGCTACGCTATATCTAAGTTCTAACTAATTATTTTAGTAAATGGGTGAATTAACTGATAACATTGGTGAAGTTTGTACCTGTACACAACACATCAGGTAACTCACAGAGGATGAAAGAGATTTTCTACACTTATACAAACTGCAATTTTCTTATATATGAAACTGCCATACATGGCTTACACGAAGAAAGCAAAACAAATACCGGAAGAAACTAAAGCACTACCACATACATGACTTCTAAAAGTACGGAACTACCCACTACCAAAAAAGACAAAGCCAAAGAACATAAAATAAAATAAAGTAAAGGAACACATGTGCATAGCATGTGACATGAGATAGATAAGGTGTTGTACCTAAACACTCCCTCTCAAGACCTATTTCGATCATTCTCATTTACTCACAAAATTGAGCCATCTTCATTCTTGACAAGCCTTTAGTACGTGAATGAATCTACACACGTCTTCACATACGATAGATCAATTTCTCCTTTCAGCACCTTTTCGCGAATAAAATGATAATGAACCTCCACATGTTTTGTTCAAGCATGAAACGTTGGGTTCTTTGCAAGTTGAATTGATGATAAGTTGTCACAGAAGATTGGAATTTTGTAGTCTACCTCCTTGTTGAAATTCTTTAAGAGTTGGATCAACCACACGCTTTCTTGAGTTGCCATGGCTGCTGCTCGATACTCAGCCTCAGTTGTGGAAAGGGACACAGTCAGGTTGCCTTTTACTACTCTATGATAAAGCACTAGATTCTAACATAAAGACATCCGGTTGTTGAGCGACGTGTATTCAGATCACCAGCATAATCAACATCACAAAATCTAGATAACTTACACACTGGCTCCCTCTTAAACACTATGCCATAGTTTATTGTTGTCTTAATGTACCTCAGGACGACTTTACGAATGGCATCAAGGTGTGGTTTCCTTGGTGTCCGCATGAAACAACTTAATAGGCCCACCACAAAAGAAAAAGCAAGATCTAGTCTTGTTAACATGAGATAAATAAGGCTTCCAACAATTTTCATGTACATGGTAGTATCCTCCAACTTCCTTCCAAAATTAGAACATAATTTTACATTCATGTCTACTTGACAGTAGGTTTGCAATCAAGCATACCAAACCAATTTAACAAATCAATAGAATACTTTGTTGGTGCAACATAATATCTCCCTTCTCATATATCACTTCCAAACCAAGAAAATGTCAAAGTTTTCCAAGGTCTTTCATGTGAAATCGGGTACACAAGTTTTCTTTCAGTTGAGTAATAACTTCAACAAAGTCACCGGTGATGATCATTAGATCATCTACATACACTAGGACAATCGCTACTTTGTCTTCTAAGAACTCGAAAATCTTTCCAAACCACGCTCTTGGCGATTGCTTCAGCCCATACCATACAGAGCCTTCTTTAGCTTACACACATAGTTGGAGTGTTTCGTGCTTTCAAACCTCATTGGCTGCTCCATATGAATGACATGGTCGAGATCTCCATACAGAAACACGTTGCTCACATCCATTTGCCAAAGCGTCCAACCCTTACTTGCACCCTTACTTGTAGCTAGGGCGAAGAGAACTCGAATTGTGGTCAATTCAACCACTGGACTGAACGTGTCCTCATAATCGAGCCCAAGTTTTTGTGAAAAACCACAAGATACTAAACGGGCTTTGGACCTTTCAATCGACCCATTAGCTTTTATTTTCACCTTCTATATACCTATTTGCATGAAATGGGCTTCACCCCATTAGGTTTTGGAATAACTCCCATGTCTGATTGTGATTTAAAGCTGGCATTTCCTCTTCTATTGCTTGAACCCATTCTTGTTTTGTACTTGCCGCTTAAAAGACTCAGGTTCACAAATGTTGGATTCAACAATACCTGTGTTTGCATACCTAGAATTGGGTCTTCTGACCCTAGTCGACCTCCTGAGGTTTATCGGATCATCATCATCATTGTCATTAGGTTTTTGTGAGTGAAATATTCCCGTCTGCCAGGGTTGAGACTCTTGAACTTTGGTTACCTCTTCTTCAATGACATTGTCACCTTCATCAATGTTCAAGTGAATTCTTGAAGATTCCAGCCCTTCTTTAAATACATCAGAATAAGGAAAGAGTTTCATATTAGATGACCACCATGAAGATGTCTCATCAAATACCACGTTTCTCGACACAACACTTCCACTGCTGGGTTCATAACAACGCCACTCTTTTTTTCTTGATCATACCCAATAAAGATGTAACGAACAACTTTCTTCTCCATTTTATGACCAAAATGGTTGGGTATAAAAACAAAGCACACACATCCAAAAATCCTTAAGTGACATACATTGGGTTTAATCTTCAAAAGTTTCTCTTACGGAGATATGTATGAGATAGAAATTGTGGACAATGGTTGTGAATAAGAAGAGAGCTAAAGAGAAGAGAGATCAGAGACACGGGAGATGAACAAGGGAGAAGTGCACAAGTTTTTTAGTTTGTTTGTTTCTTTTTTTTTTAACAAAAGAAAGGGAACTTTTGTTGATGAAAATGGATTGTAACATTAATATCAGTTCGTGCAATAAGGGCGTAAGAGCTCCATTTCCTTCTGTCTTTATCACTTTTATCTCTTTCCTCTATCTTTTGCTTCTCTCTCCTCTTTTTTTCTCTCTTCTTGAACTCCTTCTTTCGTTGCTCCACCGGTGTCGACACCTTCGGCTGCTTTTGTTCCGCTTCGAGGTAGATTCGTTGTTGCTTTCATAAGAAGAGATCAAAGCTGAAGACGATGGAGATGAAGAGATAGAATCTTAGGTATGCATTAGTTCACATGGTGAGAGCTCAAAACTCGAACCAATCGTGAGACCTAGAGGAGAGGGCGTAGAGGTAGAAGAAGACGGGGTATTTCAAATTTTTGGGGGATTTGGTTTCCCCCATAGCGGGGTTGTGACTATTAAAAATTTATAAATCTATATCTCTACACGACTCCCGTTTAATATAGGTGCCCTCCGTGTTTGTAATTTTTTTTGTTGCATACTAATTTTAGCGCACGCACAACTGCTTGTCCTCTATCCTTCAAATTTTGGAAAACGGACATTATTTTTAGGACATGCAAAAAAAATGTATCATAAATCAGTGCATATCATTATTAGTGTCATTAAATGGTTGTTATCTAGCGTTACATTTTTAATAATTTCGATTAATACTTTATTAAAATTAAGATGACATGGCTTTTATAAACATGACTGGACATTTTAGTTTCTTAGAAGAACAAATTCAATCGATCTTGGTGGGAAATCGAATTGAATATGTTGTCTTCACCTTCCAGAAACATTATGTTCTAACACTTTATGTACGTTTTCATACATATCCTTAAAAAATGTCACGTAAGCTGGCTAAGGGCTATAGTTTGTTAATGGACTAAAACAAGACGATTTTGAAAAGTTTATTACCTACAAGTGAAAAAATAAATAGAGTAACTAAAAATGGATAAACAGAATTGTTCATTGGTTATTTATAACATTTTCTCTAAATTTTAACTGACATTACCTACGATATCCGGTTAAAAAAACCAAAATGAGATGATTTTGAAATGTTCATCATCTAAATTGACAAAAATAAATTTAATACTAAAAAAAATGAAATAGTTTATTTGATTATTTCAAACATTTCCTCAAAATTCTAAGCATTAATTGAGAAAGAACTCTACACGCGTTAGAATGGGACATTGTTAGTATGGTGTTATAATTTGTTAAAACTAAAAGTCATATTGACGACGAGGTCGAACTACTCTCCCTCGTAAATTTCAAGCATTTAATCGTTGGAATGTGATATTGTTATTTGTTAAAAAAATATGAAAAATCATACTTTTTATAATTTTAATTTTTTGCCTTCTATCCTAATATTTTAACTTTTTGACATTTTCATCTTAAATTAACATTTTTTTCACGATATCAAGCCTCCCACTTTTGCAACTCATACCACCGTTCTCTGTTGCCCACACATTGACCACAAGACAACGGTCCACCGCTAACCGCATCGCTCTCCTCCTGTTCCATTGCATTAACCACTGAGAGCATAGGTTTTCCACCATCACCCTCATCTATATTTTTCTCATTATCGGACTGTTGTTCTCCCAAAACAATGAGGCAATCAATCTTTATCGACATATGTCGACAATACCGGAGCTTTGATTTTTTTATTCTAATACTACTTCCGTCCCAAATTAATTGTCCATATCTGACTTTTCCAACTTTAAAATGAGATGATTTTGATAATTCCAGATCCGTTACTTAAATTTGGAAATAATAAGTGAGTAACTAAACACAGATAAAATGGAATAACTCGTTGGTCATCTATAACATTTTGGCTGAAGTTTAACTGTATTATCTATGATACCTGATTAAAAAAACTAAAATTGAAATTATTTTGAAAAGTATATTAACCAAAGATAAAAAAAAATATGGTCAATGATTAAAAATGGAAAAATAAATAGTATTTTGATCATTTCAACATTTTCCCAAAGTTCTATACATCTTTTTTTTAACCTACAAATGCAAATATTATAATCTACTCCTCACTAACACATCTAATTTCACATATGTCCACCATGAGACTTGAACCCTTAATCTCAAGGAGGGAGGGCACCACCTGATATCGCTGCCCTTTCGTAAAGTTCTATACATCAATTGAGAAAAAAATCTAAACGCGTTAGAATTTTACATTGTTTGTGGGCGATATAATTTGTGAAAACTGAAAAGTCGTATTGAAGACGAGGTCCAACTACTCTTCCTCGTAAATTCCAAGCATTTAATCGTTAGAATGTGATATTCTTTTTGTGGGACAGTGGGTTTTATAATCTCTGAAGAACAAAAAAAAAAAAGAAATTCACACTTTTAATATCTCAAGGAGGGAGGGCACCACCTGATATCGCTGCCCTTTCGTAAAGTTCTATACATTAATTGAGAAAAAAAAAATCTAAACGCGTTAGAATTTTACATTGTTTGTGGGCGATATAATTTGTGAAAACTGAAAAGTCGTATTGAAGACGAGGTCCAAGTACTCTTCCTCGTAAATTCCAAGCATTTAATCGTTAGAATGTGATATTCTTTTTGTGGGACAGTGGGTTTTATAATCTCTGAAGAACAAAAAAAAGAAATTCACACTTTTAATAATTTAATATTTTTGCCTTTTATCCTGAAGTTTTAAAATTTTGCCATTTTCATCCTAAATTAGCATTAGCTCATGCTTTTAGTCCTCCCACTTTTGCGATTCTTCGTCATCCTCTGTTGCCCACACATTGACCACCGGACACCGTCCACCACTAACCCCATCGCACTCCTCCTTCTCCATCGCCTTTTCCACTGAGTGTGCATTAGCTTTTCCACCATCGCCCTCATCTGTTTTTCTCATTATCCGACTGCTGTAATTCCAAAACAACGAGACAAACATTCTTTATCACAGAGGTCAGTATCGGAACTTTGATTTTTGATTCTAATAATGATTTTCGATTAAGGATTTGTTTTTCTTGGTGGTCTTTATCATTTGGTTATTTTATTATGCTTTAGGGTTTGGGTTTGATATTGTTATTTTGATCTAGGGTTTGGAAGGTGGTAGATATGGAAATACACTAAACATTACTGTTATGCACTTTCGTCTTTTGGGATTATATTTGAAGATATGGTAGTGTTAACTTGTTTTATTCATGGGAATCGAGAAATCTCATAGCTTGGTAGAAGCGGTTTCACTTTTCATATCATTTTGGTTAAGTAGAAGATTTCTAGAGAGTTCTTTTTATGTTGTTAGACAAAGGCAAAATGGTTACTTACTAAATGGATCAAAAGCTGGACTGTCCATTAAGTTAAACAACCTAGAGACTAAAGACGTGATCGAACATTGTTTTAGGGATGAAATATGCAAAAAATAAAACTATTACCCCATGTTAATGAAAAGTGTGGACGATTATTGTAATTTAGCCTTTATTAAAATACTTGGTTGAGATCGATTAATGGACATTAAGGAAGATTCAAAACAATAATACAGTAACTTATTATATTTTCATATCCAAGGAATATGTAATATTTTCGATGCGAGAGCTTTTAGCTTTTAGCTCTTAAGAAAAAGTTCGAATTTAAATACAAAACTTCGTTTGGGAATACAAGTTTGACGCTTTTACTGTAGAAAAAAAAAGTTCGAATCCAAAATGCCTCATGAACTAGCTTATAGTTTTTATGTAATTTTACATCTTTAAAAACTTACAACTACTTTTTCCAAACACTTCTACACAAATAAAAGCTACAACGTCGACGTACCCGTTGCCAACTAGTTTGGCCAAACATATCCTAAACTTCATAGATGCTCATGTCTATAGGTATGTTGAAATTGTCAAAGTCAAGAATTTGGACCCCATTTTTTTTAGGAAACTGTTTTTTCAGTTTCTTATAAATCTCTAAGAAAATTCGAAGATAATGCATGTTTATTTATCAATAGCCGTTGTTTCTTGGAGTTCCTCTATAAAAAAAAAGACTACTTACTTTCATTTTTATTGTAAATCTAGTCTCAAATTAGTCATACCTTCCCATCACTCATAATGGTTAGCAAAGGATCATCTTCTTCATCTACCAATGATCATAAATATGATGTATTTTTAAGTTTTCGGGGTGCTGATACTCGTTATGGTTTCACCCATGAACTCCATAAAGCCCTCCAGAATGTCAATATCTCTACCTTTTTTGATGATGAAGAGATGGAAACGGGAGGAGACCTAAAGCCAGAATTGGAGAGTGCGATTAAATCATCTAGGGTTTCAATCGTCGTGCTGTCCAAGACTTATGCTAGTTCATCATGGTGTCTCAATGAATTGGTTCTGATCCTTGAGCAACGTATGACATCCAACCAAATTGTTATCCCAGTCTTTTACTATGTTGAGCCCACCCATGTCAGGAAGCAACAAGATACCTATGGAGATGCAATGGCTGTACACCAACAGAACATTGGGGCTGAGCCAGATGCAGAGAAAAGACGTCAGTTGGCTGAAAAGATGGATAGATGGATTAAAGCGCTTGAAGCAGTTGCTGATTTAAAAGGGGTGGACGTAAAGGGAAGGTAAACACTTTCTTAACTGCTTCAACTTTGTTTGATTAACCATAAAATTTGAATGCCGTATTTTCTGAATGCACGTTTCTTAAACTTCAGAAAAATACACATATTATCTAATATAGCTAAATTGGACCAATATCTTTCATCTAATTTTTATTTATATATGATATGATAAATTAATGCATTGGACTTTAAAATTGGATAAAGATGCGTCAATGATTCACCATTTTCATAATATCTAACATGCGTTCGGTTAGAATCAAAATTGAATAAATTGCTAATTAATGTGAACGCAAGTGGCCAGTGGGCTGCTGCTACTCTTTTTGTTCCCACCTCTTGGTTTACTCGCCAGATTTCTAGAGATAGTCTACAACCCATGCCATTTTCAGCGCTAGAATGGTGCAAACAGTAATTCATCTCCGACCTATTACACCATTTTTTACACAAAAAAATATATTCCTAGTATAATTACCCTTTTAACTTACACAAATTGTCCAAAAAAAATAAACACCCCTTCAGTTTAATTATTAGCTTTTCGTCAATTTGTATGACAACCTTTTTGTTTCAATAGGTTTAGAAAACATATATTATCACAGAGTTTTTAAATTGTTAAATAAATTCAAAACACAATGATTACCACAAAATATTTCATCACTAAGTATTTGATTTTACAAAAAATATTAAAATTTTCAAACAGTTTTGAAACATAAAAATCAAATTTTATATTTATGATTAACTAATTTCAGTATAATTTATAAAGGATATTACAACTTATAATTATTACATCTAAAGTATAACTAGTTAATTAAATAAACTATAAATGTATAAACCTATAACCCGAGGGATATAAATTGCCACTTGAAAGTTTGACACTATTTGGGTGTAACGGAGTAGTATAACACCAAATTTTGGTGTTATTATATTTGTTTACAACAACATGGTGTTGGGTTGGAGAGAAAGGGTGCAGAAAATGCTGCACCCTTTATATTTTTGGTGTCAAAGTTTTTTTTTTTTTTTTTTTTTTTTTTTTGTGAAACCTTAATAACTAAAGCTTGTAGATACCGATACGTTGAGAGATACAATTTTAAAAAAAAGGAAACATCGATGAATTAACAATTTCATTTAGAGAAAGAAGAAGTGGTTGGCAATTTTAGGCAAGATTTGATAAAATAAAAAAAATAAAAAAAAAGGCTCTCCCATGTGAATTTCTCTTATCCAATTCCTGTTTGTAAGTTAATAGCCTAACGTCTAATTAGTACACCAATAACAATAACAATATCCACTTAATGGGTTAAGATGAGGTTAGATGTAGGTAACTTCTACTAGCAGGTAGGGAGACTACTTCCATTGATCGCCCCATCATAACAATAATACACGATTCCACACTAGATTATCTCAATCATATAAAACATCAACTCACAATCAAGAATAAGTCAATAAGCAAATAATAAGGTGTGAGGCGGTGCAGAAGACAAGGTGATGTAGATGAGGGGTGGGTAATTGGTCCCAAAAAAATACTAACAAAGAAAATTACAAACCACAACGGTCAATGAGGGAAAAATGGTCAATTGTTACAACTCTAACAGATTTCATTTTACGGTGTTAATCGGAGGGACCTTGAACATAATCAAATTGAGAAAAAGGACCGTTTATGGAAATAACTGTATTTGAGTACCAAAACTAAAGAAATCGATAATCCACATGGACAATTTTTTCAGTTTAGTCTATTATAATTTCATACTGTTGCAATACCATAACATCGATTATTGTATCACAAGTATTTTAATTACTATGAAAAAACATTTCTACTTCTAGCAGTATAGTATAACCTGACATGTTGTTTAGAGAAATGCTTAGCCACATCAAGATTTTAGTTTGATGAAACTCTAGAAACATAATGAAATTTGGTTGCCCACTAAAGATACGTATCTAGCTGTTAAAAAAAACTAAAGATACGTATCTTATATTACAATGATGGCTCTGGTCTTATTATACATTAAAATTATGACCTTATATAGCAGATGCATATGGTAAGAACTGCAAATATGATATAAGTTTGATGTGAAAAACTTAACTAAACATGATAGCTTTATAATATGATATAAATTTGATTTAGTTCTTTAGATAGATTAAATCTCTAAATATGGTATTTCAGTTTATTTGGATTGTTCTTTGCGGTTCTTATTAAACTCATGTTTCAGGCCAGAGGCGGAGTTTATTAAAGAAATTGTCAAGGATATTTACAGTAGATTATGTATTTCCTCAAGGATTCCTGTGCCACAACTTTTTGGGATTGACGATTCCATTAATTCTCTGACTTCATGGTTGAATGATGAATCCTCACATACAGCAGACATTTACACTATTTGGGGTATTGCTGGGATCGGGAAGACGTCTTTAGCCAAATACGTCTATCGGTTACACTCTCATGAATTCGACACAAGCAGCTTCATTGGAGATATTAGTAGGAGATGCAATAGTTTTAATGGTTTGCTTGATTTACAAAAACAACTTTTTGATGACATTTTTAAACCAAATTCAATTCAAGTTCACGAGGTTTCTCTATACATCCCAATGATAGAAAATGCATTAGCCAGTAAAAAGGTGTTTCTTGTTCTTGATGATATTGATAACCTCGACCAGTTGAATGCATTACTTGGAAGCAAAGGTTTTCAAGCAGGGAGTAAAATCATCATAACAACAAAGAACAAATGGTTGACAAAGAGTTGTGAACTATTCAAAAGGTCTGCTAAACCCAAGAATACAAAGCACTTTCTTCAAGGCTTAAATACGACTGAATCACGACGACTTCTCTGTTTTCATGCATTCATGTCCAATGATCCCATGACAGGTTATGAAGAGGTGTTAGAAAAACTTGTGATGTATTGTGATGGACATCCATTGGCTCTTGAAGTTTTGGGCAGGTCACTGCATAAAAGAGATGTAGCTTACTGGGAGGGCCACTTGGAAACACTAAAGAAGGAAAATGGTTCCCCTGTAAATAATATACTAAGAATAAGCTTCGACTCTTTGCCGTCCGAAAATGATAAGGACTTGTTTAAGCATATTGCTTGTTTTTTTGTTGGAGTGGATAAATATTTTACTGAAGCAATTTTAAAAGCATGTAATATAAATACAAGTTTTGGGTTCACAAATCTCTTTGACAGATGCCTTCTTAGCATTGAAGAGAATAACATATTGATGATGCATCAGTTGCTTCAAGAGATGGGAAGATACCTAGTACGTGAAGAATCACCAAACAAGCCATGGATGCGAAGTCGATTATGGTGTCATGAAGAGTCATTCGAAGTGTTGAAACAACAAAAGGTAAGAGGCCATGTATACTTGTTCAGAGTATTTTTGTATCGTCTATATATACATGGTGATGACATTTTTTAATTCTGTTGCATTCCTTTTATTCTTAGGGTACCGAAAATGTTTTAGGCCTAGGCCTAGACATGAGATTGCTCAAGAAAGAGAAGTCATGTGGATCAATTGAGTTGAAAACGGATGCCTTGAGTAACATGGTTAATCTAATACTGCTACAACTTAATGATGTGCAAATGAAAGGGACTTACAAGAAATTTCCTGAAAAAATAAGATGGTTGTGTATACATGGGTTTCCTTTGAAGTCGATACCTTCAGACTTACCGATGGATAATCTAGTGGCTCTGGACTTGTCATATAGCAAGTTTGAGTCATTTGACATTTGTTGTAGTAATCCACAACGACCTCGGAAGAGGCAAAAGGTAACACATCTGTCTTTATTATTATTCCATGTTGAGTTGATCAAATTCAATACTATTCTAACTTATCTTCATGTCAGCAGTTGATTGGATCACATTCAAAAGAGATAAGGTTGCTAAGATCATTAAAATTTCTTAATTTAAGTTTCTGTGAAAAGCTTTGTAGTCTGGACTGTTTTGACGGGCTCCCTGCACTTGAGTGGTTAATAGTTACAAATTGCGTTGGTTTGTTGGAGATTTCTGAATCAATTCAGCAATGTGTTGAACTTGTCCATATTAATTTGAGCTACTGCATCAAGCTTGGAAAACTTCCAAGAACCATATGCATGTTAAAGAAGGTTAAAACATTATTGCTAGAGGGCTGTAGAATCGGTCCTCAAATGGAGGTTATGGACATGGATTCATTGGTAAACAAAATTGGTATAAACGCAGAAACATTTTTCTCCGCAATTATGAACTCCATACCAACAGATTCCAAGTTCTTTACGAATTTACCATTATCTTTAGTAAAATTGTGGCTTGGAAATAATAATTTGACCACAAAATCCTTTCCCATGGACTTTAGTTGCCTATCCGTGTTAAAAGAGTTATGTTTAGATGACAATCCTATCAGTTCCATGCCCAATTGTGTGAGAAGCCTTCCTAGGCTTGAGCTACTTCGTATGGCTGGCTGTAGCATTCTGACGTCAGTCGAGTATCCTCCACCTACACTAAGATATTTGAACCTCCTTTCTACTGATGGCTGGCTACAAAAAGTTGTATTTGATCCAGAAATGTCCCCACTCAGGTTGGGAATGCTTGGACAACAAATAGTAATTCCATGTGATATCGAAGGCATAGTCAAAATCGAACGAATGACAGCTGTTGAGGAAAAGTTATTAGATAGTTTGGGCTGGACTAATCCAGACTTTCCTTACGAGAAGTGCATGGAAACTTTTTTTGCAGATAAAAAACCAGAAGAATCTAAAAATAAGGTTTGCTCTAATTAACTATATATCTGCATTTGTGTGAATATAGTTATATGATTTTGGCTCATTTTATAACCTAGTGTGTGTGTGTGTGTGTATATATATATATATATATATATATATATATATGACAGATGTGTTATGAATTCGGAATATTCACCACGCATTATATGGGGAAAGAGCAACCGAATTGGATTACAAAACGAAGCAAGGGACCATCAATATCATTTACCATCCCATCATCTCCTTTCAATCTCAGGGGATTGAATTTGTGCTTTGTAGAGATGCTTCGGGATCTGTTTTCTCCAGATGTGTCAGTGGTTTGTACTTCGCCAACGATTAAAATTAATAATACAACAAAGAACCTCACCTGGATATACACGACTTCTCTTAATAAATTCCAAGTAGATGGAGAGTGTCTTATATTGCTAAGCCATTGGATGTTTGGGATAAATGAGATGGAAGCGGGTGATCATGTTACTATAACCGGAAAAATGGACATTGGATCTACAAAGGAGTGTGGGGTGAGTTTTGTGTATGATGATAAAAAAACGGATGAAGAAGAAGATGTTTTGGGTGATTACAAGTCATGGAATCATATCATTGGTGGAGATCTCTCCGGATTTCAGTTAACAACAGGAGAATATATCTTAGACTTTGGAGGATATGAGCGGGACGACATTGCAATTGACAATTCTTTATATGAATTTGTTGGAAACGGTGCAGTCTATAAAGGTAGATGTCATTACTATTAAAATTACTTTTTCTTGTGCCTTGGGTACGTATTACTTTTTATCTATTTTTTATGCACCAAGAACATAGTGGAAAATTGGAAATGAGGCAACCCACAATACTATACATCCAACAACATCCATGAGTTATTGAAAAACCTAATTATTTTAAATAAATGGATCATTGATCCAAACAAAGACTTTTATTATTGGTTTTATCAATTTTTAAAATATAAGTTCATTTTTATCGAATATAGAAACTTAGAGTTCTACTTTACTTTTTAAATGGATCGACCCTGGTGGATAATGAATAGACACTACGTTTTGATCTGCCTAAATAGGATTATTTGTTGACAAGTTTTTTAATATGTTGGATCACATAAATATATTGGATCGGATTTAGATCAGGTTCGAAGTCATCATTGTGAGGCCTAGCTACTAGTGGATGTATGCGCATTATAATTAACATATTACTTTTTATCTCTTTTATCAGAAAAGCAAATGTGGTTTAGAGCTTTCCCCCAAAAGAAGTCCGACATAGATGGTCACACACTTGAGGTATATTTCTGTATATACCCAAACGTTTTTACAACTTGAATAAAAAGGCACACATGCACAACCAATTCAATATGTTATCAAACAAACTTCTTAAATATTGATTAGTGATGTAACAAAATAAAAGGAGTTATAACCTTGTAATATATGTTTGGAAATTGACAAAAAGAAAAAAAAAAAACAAAAACAAAAAAACCAGCTAACTATAATTTTACCCATGATTTGAATCAAAGGAAATCCATGGGTAAAACCCATTACCATGGATTTGACCCCTGGGTAAAGTGGCTGTTTATCCGCTTTGTTGTTGTGTACTTGTTTATGATGTATAATTGGAGGCCATCATAGATGGGCTTAAAAGAAATTTGTCCCAAAATCTTGTCGATTGGGGGAAGATTCTCTGTACCTATCTGTATTTTTTTTGACCGGGGGTTTTAGAACTGAACACTTTCTCATATTTTGTACCTTATCTTCGACGGGGTTTCTTGATAAAGATTAATCAGTTTTTGCAAGTAGGTTTAACTTTTTAATAGATATAATATACGTATTATCATTTCCTAAGTCAAAAAGATTAAATATACCATTATTTCTTTAACACTGGAGCAGGAACAAGACAATGGCTTTGTGAAAGAAGGGAAGAATACCATCATTGGGGGCAACAGCAGTGGTATCTCATTCAAATCTGACGATGAAGGTTCTATTGGCAAGGAAGAAAATAGTCATGGGTGCAAGGATAACTTACCTCCGTTCAATCTTAGTGTTCTTCAATATCTGGATTGTTTACTCGAAGGTATATCCTACTAATGGTGGAAATTCTTGTACAAAGTAGTCAACTAGTCATACTGAAAGTCATTATTACTCGAAGGTAGTCCTACTATTTCTAATCTCTATTTCCTTTGTAGGTCCTGACGGAGAGCAACTGTTTTCTTTCCCCTTGGAAAAGATGAGGGATTTAGATGACATTCTCCTGCCTGGTTCTTCTGACGAACAAGATGATGCGGAGGTGGATTACATGAAGTCATCGGAGCCCAGCTCTTCAGGAACGAACTCAGAAGAGTAGAAAGAAGACTGCTAATGATGTGAGATGACCGGAATTTGAGATCTAGAAGCCGTCAGAGGTGCCAGTTTATGGATCTGGAGCAGATATTGGAATTTCCTTCTTATGTTGAGAAGGAACTGTGTATTGATAAAGGTAAAAGCTATTGATGTAACTGAGGGGACGTCTGAGCAACAACGCTCTTGGTATCTCAATAATACGAGGAAAATTGAAGCCGAGCATTATGAGTTGGAGTTTGGAAAGTCAATTGGAGCACTCAGAAGCTCTAAGAGAAGAAGCTCACCTAATGAATTTTTCGTTGGAAGAGTCCAACTCTGAACTTGCGAGTAGACTAGAGGTGTTGGAGTCTGAAAAGAAGCAGTTGGAAGAAAAGATTGTCATGCTGGAGGCTGCTGATGCTGAACGAATGGAGCAGTTGAAAGTTGCCATAGAGGGCTTAACTGTGTGTTGTGCCGATATTGAGTGGGTCTTAACTGTGTGTTGCATGGTTTTCTTTTACTCTAGCTACGAGTCCTTTGGTCTTTCATCCAAGATTCAGGTTCTGTTTGGGTAGGTTGGCTGGTTAGATCCTCGGGGTGCTAGTTTGTTGGTGCCTCAGTGGGATGTTTTGGTTCAAGTCTCACATTGCTTCGTGAGTGGATTCCCAATTTTGTTGATGCAATGTTTCTAAAACTTGACCTGAAAATCACAAAGCACGGAAGTGATACTTGATCAGTTATAGATTTATCAGTATTCTGCATGATAGCGAGAATCACACAATCAACATGCTAGATAAGAAAAATGTTGTGAATACTAGTGATAAAGAATGAAGGAAACTTGACTTAATTGGCAGGAGCACCTATGAGGAGGTATAACATCCTCCTCTTGAAAAATTATGATCAAAGGCCTTACAGAATATTTGTAATTTTGACTTCAATATTGTAAAATAACTAAACTGAAGGTACTCGCACCTTGGTGAACTTCACCTGGTCATGCAACGTTTTAACCATTTCATATGCTTTAAAAGGAAACTACTTCTCGATAAATCATTGAAGATAAATAATAATATTACGCCCAAAAAGTGCATTGCTTCAAACTTGTTTAACTGGATAGATTAGCAGTCTTGAGACATTAAACAAAGTTGACAAGGAAAACTGCATGCATAACAAAGAACATAAGCAATCTAAAATTGAATCCAAATAATGCATGATTTCAAAATATTAAGCTTAACATCCACATTCAATAAGCAAGCTCTCAATGAAGACTTTGGAATTTTGGATCCATGGTTGAGGCTAAAGTTGCCAGTCCTGTTTGACTTTTGGTGTTCTTTATGAACTTTATGTTGGATAAAATAGGGTTTATGTTGGAGATATGGATACCCTTTGGATCGTGTGAACACTTTCCAAATTGATATTTCTACCCTATAACTGGGTTGCAAGAAATTCGGTTTAGGATAATCCAAGAGGACATTTATGATTCTAGGCACATAAATCGTAAGCCAAATTGTTCAAAGGATTCTATGTTTGTTTGATGAAAACGAGAGCTAATGATTTTCCGTATCTCTCATCTCAAAGAGAAGTATCGTTTATATAATAAACGTGATTAGGGTTTCATTAGCACGAACGCAGCCAGGGGCGCCTCTGCCCCTTGTACTCCCGCTAGGGGCGCTGGGCACTGCCCCTTTGATTCGATCTTATACATGCGTGCACTCCGCACAAAACCGTACATATATTAGATAGAAATTATGAAGCCCCTTAGCTCACGTGTTAGTTCCAATTACATAAAATGACATGGTGACACTAAAATCACCAACACATGGGTTGCTTCAACAGATGGGAGATTCATAGTAAGTCAAGAAGCAACTCACAAGCCATGGAAGCGAAGTCGATTATGGTGTCACCAAAGTGCTGAAACATAAAATGGTTAGAAGCCTTGTATACTTGTTCAAATTATTTTGTACCGTCTATATACATGTATGTATACCAATTTTAAATTTGTTTGCATTTCTTTTCTTCTTAGGGTACTGGAAATGCTCTAGGACTCACCCTTGACACAAGAAGTGCAAGTTACATCAATTTCGTCTCCTTCTTCACCAAATTTGTTATGCTAGCTAACAGGGAACAAAATGAAACAAACCACAACCAACATCGGTATAAATAAATGCAGATGACATAAATGAAGAGTTCAGTGGTCTAATTTGCTAAAAAAAAAAATTATTAATTTAAAAAAATACTTTTTTTAGTTTTAATTCAATTAAAGAACAAACTAAATGACCAAATAAAGCAGAAATGGAGCAACATAATTCAAAAGTAATACATTATTTGACCAATAACATTATAGTACATAAAAATTAAAAATGAAAATATCAAATAAAATCAGCCAAAAAAGTCACAATCTCATAAAAGTGCAAGAGTTATCATAAAACAGATTGATAAAACAATGATAATCATATATGATTTCAGTTGAAGAGTTATCATAACACAGATTGATAACTCTAATGATAAAAAAGTCACAATCTCTTAAACAGATTTATCATAACACAGATTGATAAAAAAAGTCACAACATCTTAAAGAGTTATCCGTTGAAATCATGAGAAACAGCAATTAACTAATAATAGCCCATGGATCTTGATAAAACAATGAAAACCAATATGACCAATATGATTTCTTAACCAAGTAAGATTCATAAAATCGACCCTTGAATAAAAAAACATACCTGGATTCGAGAGGCAGACAGATGGAGAGGAAAAGAACGTGAGCTGGTTCGATTACAATACCTGCAATAATCGACATTTTCAGAATACATTGTGAATCAAAACCTCATGACAATGAACCAGTCAAGGACAACAATTCTAACCAGTCCAAGTAATTACAAGAATACGCTAGGAAGAAATACTAACCTTGAGATGATTTCAATCGATAACAGCTTAAAAAAAATGGACAAGATTGTTACAAGGGAACCCTGTCTTACCGATTACAGACAACTACAATACACACAACAAGAAATACTATCAGGTGAACGATTGAGACGAATGGTAAAAAAAGATATTACATAACAGATGAATCTTACCGATTGGTGGTTGCTGAGGCGGCAGGCGGTGAAGGTCGTGAAGGGAGGAGACCGGCGATGAAGGTCATCAAGCGAATCGCCCGATGAGAGAGACAACGATCGAAGGAATCCGGCGGAGCAAGCTTCATCTACATCGGCTGGAAAGTGAAGAACGGAGGATCGAAGCAGCGGGCATAAAGGTAGGAGGCGGGAGTGGGTGCGATACAATGAAAGAGAAGGGGGAAAGTGAAAATGAGAGAGGGAAACCTAATTTTGGGGAGTTAGAATTTTTCATTTGGGGGGGGGGGGGGGGGGGGGGGGGGGGGGCATTAAGACGTCGGAATGGATTGACGATGGATTGATTGTCTGGGTTTGATATGTTTATATGAATATATGAATATGTTTGGATAGGTTCTGCTCTACAGAAATAGAAAATCTATTTTCATAAGAAGATTGAGAACTCTGCTTTATTCACTAAATCTTATAATCTCAATCACTCTGCTTTATTCACTAAGGGCAAAGCCCTTTATATAGGCTCCAAAGAGCCGTTTACATACGGTATCTTTACATTATTGCAATCGTATGATTGCAAAAAGACAAACTACTTTACATAAGACTTTATGTCACATATATAATAATGTTACACACTTATTAATCTTACCGACACTTTACATAATTATAAAAGACAAAATAGAATTATTATCATCTATAATGCATCGTTGTCTTCAAAGATGTGTTCTCTTTAATAATATGATTCTTACGTGAATGATGCGTCGGAATGGATTGACGATTTGTGTTTTTCAATTTGTGTTTTTCGATTTGGATTTCAGGGAAACCCTATCCAAATCGAAAAACACAAATCGAAAAACATGACGGAATTAATAAAATTAAGACAGAATATACCTGAATGATGCGTCGGAATGGATTGACGATGAATTGATTGTCTGGGTTTGATATGTTTATATGAATATATGGATATGTTTGGATAGGGTTCTGCTATTCAGAAATAGAAAATCTATTCAACAGAAGAAGATTGAGAACAACTCAAATCTTATAATCTCAAATCACTCTTCTTTATTCACTAAGGGCAAAGCCCTTTATATAGGCTCCAAAGAGCCGTTTACACACGGTATCTTTACATTATTGCAATCGTATGATTGCAAAAAGACAAACTACTTTACATAAGACTTTATGTCACATATATAATAATGTTACACACTTATTAATCTTACCGACACTTTACATAATTATAAAAGACAAAATAGAATTATTATCATCTATAATGCATCGTTGTCTTCAAAGATGTGTTCTCTTTAATAATATGATTTCTTACGTGAATGATGCGTCGGAATGGATTGACGATTTGTGTTTTTCAATTTGTGTTTTTCGATTTGGATTTCAGGGAAACCCTATCCAAATCGAAAAACACAAATCGAAAAACATGACGGAATTAATAAAATTAAGACAGAATATACCTGATGATGCGTCGGAATGGATTGACGATGAATTGATTGTCTGGGTTGATATGTTTATATGAATATATGGATATGTTTGGATAGGGTTCTGCTATTCAGAAATAGAAAATCTATTTCAACAGAAGAAGATTGAGAACAACTCAAATCTTATAATCTCAAATCACTCTTCTTTATTCACTAAGGGCAAAGCCCTTTATATAGGCTCCAAAGAGCCGTTTACACACGGTATCTTTACATTATTGCAATCGTATGATTGCAAAAAGACAAACTACTTTACATAAGACTTTATGTCACATATATAATAATGTTACACACTTATTAATCTTACCGACACTTTACATAATTATAAAAGACAAAATAGAATTATTATCATCTATAATGCATCGTTATCTTCAAAGATGTGTTCTCTTTAATAATATGATTTCTTACGTGAATGATGCGTCGGAATGGATTGACGATTTGTGTTTTTCAATTTGCGTTTTTCGATTTGGATTTCAGGGAAACCCTATCCAAATCGAAAAACACAAATCGAAAAACATGACGGAATTAATAAAATTAAGACAGAATATACCTGAATGATGCGTCGGAATGGATTGACGATGAATTGATTGTCTGGGTTTGATATGTTTATATGAATATATGGATATGTTTGGATAGGGTTCTGCTATTCAGAAATAGAAAATCTATTTCAACAGAAGAAGATTGAGAACAACTCAAATCTTATAATCTCAAATCACTCTGCTTTATTCACTAAGGGCAAAGCCCTTTATATAGGCTCCAAAGAGCCGTTTACACACAGTATCTTTACATTATTGCAATCGTATGATTGCAAAAAGACAAACTACTTTACATAAGACTTTATGTCACATATATAATAATGTTACACACTTATTAATCTTACCGACACTTTACATAATTATAAAAGACAAAATAGAATTATTATCATCTATAATGCATCGTTATCTTCAAAGATGTGTTCTCTTTAATAATATGATTTCTTACGTGAATGATGCGTCGGAATGGATTGACGATTTGTGTTTTTCAATTTGTGTTTTTCGATTTGGATTTCAAGGAAACCCTATCCAAATCGAAAAACATGACGGAATTAATAAAATTAAGACAGAATATACCTGAATGATGCGTCGGAATGGATTGACGATGAATTGATTGTCTGGGTTTGATATGTTTATATGAATATATGGATATGTTTGGATAGGGTTCTGCTATTCAGAAATAGAAAATCTATTTCAACAGAAGAAGATTGAGAACAACTCAAATCTTATAATCTCAAATCACTCTGCTTTATTCACTAAGGGCAAAGCCCTTTATATAGGCTCCAAAGAGCCGTTTACACATGGTATCTTTACATTATTGCAATCGTATGATTGCAAAAAGACAAACTACTTTACATAAGACTTTATGTCACATATATAATAATGCTACACACTTATTAATCTTACTGACACTTTACATAATGCCAAAATACATACAATCGTTATTGTCAATAATGTATATCTTTGATATCTTCTCAGTAATATCTTTGATATCTTCTCAATAATATCTTTAATATCCCTCCCGCCTCCGAAAAGACATATAATGTTTTCTTCTGTCATGGCTGACATGGCTTCCATTCTCTTGTTAATGTATCCGCTATGTGATTGTTGGCGCTTTTGATATACTTGAGGTATGGATGAAATTGATGTAGTTGTAATTGCCATCGGATTAACCGTCCTCGACAATAATCTTCTTGTAACTTATATCGCCAAAAACCAAGTAAATATTTGGAATCTGTGCGTAATTCGAATCTGGTTTGGAGTAACTCAATTTTCCATTTTTTCAATGTTCTAAGACACGCCAGTGTTTCTCGTTCATGTGTACTGTAATTTTGTTCTGCTTGGGAAAATGTTCCCGATATATACTTGCATAGTTTCTGTTCATATATTATATGTTTTTAATGCTTCGGATGATACATCTGTATCAATGTATGCTTTTGGTGATATTTTCATATCACTGTATGCTTTTGGTGATATTTTCATATCACTGTATACTTTATCATTGTTTACTTTTAATGAGTCAGATATGAGATTCCCCTCATTATCTAAACTCAATAATACTTTTCCTTGTATAATTGCTTTTAGGCATCCTGCCCAAGTGTCTTGTGATGCATCTGTTTCTACAATTAAGAAATCGTCTATTTTTGCATTATATAAAATGGGGAGAACTTGAATATTTTGTTTTATATTTTGTACTAAAATAGTATCTGTATTTGTCCAAGACCAATATATCTTTTCTGATATTTTCTTTTGTAAAACTTTTCTTTCTTTTGCTAGATTTTTCAAAAATCCTTGTTCTGCAATATAATTTAAGCAGCCAAGAAATCGTTGTATTTGTTTTCTATTTTCAAGTTTATCAGGAAACATATTTAATTTTTCTCGTATATTGTCTGTTAATGATAATTGACAATTTTCTCCAATTTTTAAACCAAGATATTCAACTGTAGATTGAAAAAGTTTTGATTTCTTTTTTGATAAAACTAAACCCTTTTCTTTAATTCTTTGTAAAACCTTGATGACTGCATCAATGTGTGTTTGTTCATTTCCTATTGTAAAAACAATTATATCATCAATATATGCGAGACAAATATGATCTAAACCATTTAAGGTTTCATCCATGAATCGCTGGTATATTGCTGGTGTCTGTTTTAAACCGAATGGAAGAACATTCCATTCATAATGCTTCTGAGGAGGACATGAGAAAGCGGTTAGTGGTTTCGTATTTTCATGTAAGCGTAACTGCCAATATCCAGATTTTGCATCAAATGTACAAAATGTGTATTTCCTTTTATTTTTTCTAAAATATATTCTTTTCGTGGTAATTTATATGAGTCTCCTATAGTAGCATCATTCATTTTTTTATAATTGATTACCATTCTTCGTTTGCCTCGTTTTATTTCATTATTATTTTCTACATAGAATGCAGGTGCAGAATGAGGACTCTTGTTAGGTCGAATGATTCCTTTTTCTAATAGTTCAGTGCATTCCTGTTTAAATTCAGAAACATCTTTTATACTATATGAAATTTTATTTGGAACATTAATTTCATCATTAGGGTTTTTTAATAATATTATTATTTCTTGATTATTTCTATTTTTTAAATGATCTAGTGGATTTTCGCTGCATACTTCTTCAAGTTGTTTTTCAGCAATTTCTTTAGCAAATGTTAGTAATATGCGTAATTGAAAGCCAACATCTTGTTTGATTATTTTAATAAGATCATAATGTTTGATAATTGCAGTTTTTTATAATACCTTTTGTTGGATGATTGAGACTTATATCGTCATTTGTTTGTATAGATGGTTGATATAATTTAAGGAAATTATTTCCTATAACTAAATCTATTCCTGAATCGTGTTGATATATAGTTGGAGTTTTAAATGATGTTTTTTCAATTGCTGTATCTATATCTCTTCCTACGAACCAAATTTTGTGAATTGATTTATCAGCAATTGTTATTTTTAATGGTTTTTCTAATTTTTCCCAATTTTTTAATATATTTTTTCTTCCAAAACATAAAGTAGCTCATGTATCTATATACGAAACTAATTCTTTATCTTGTATTTTGGTTGTAATAAATGTACTGTTTGGGTTAATATTTGTTTTTCTTTTACTCATTGGGGTTAGTTTATAAATTTCTATTAATTAATGTGTTTTCTTGCGAAATATTCAAATTAACAAGTTGTGTTTGTTAGTATAGTTGAAACATTATGTATTACGGTTT